TGCGGGGTGGCACCGGAGGGGTCCCCCGCGGCAGGGAAGCACCTTTTTCCTCTTTGCCTTCTCCTTCTCTGCTTTCTTCTGCTGTTTCTTCAGCTTCTTGATGGCCTTCTTCTTCTTCTCGATCAGGCGGTCCACGTTGATGCCACTCTGCAAAACAACGCAGTGCTGTGTCCCCAGGCCCCCCTCCACCACCCCGGTGCCAGCAGGCGGGGAGCACTGGGGGGCTGGTGGCTCTCCTACCTTCTTCTTCAGGGTCTCAGCGTACAGCTCCACGTTGGCAAAGTAGAGCGTAGAGGAGGAGCGGAAGATCTTCACCCCCGGGACCTCCTGTGCCTGGGGGCAAATGGGCAGGGTGCTACCCCAGGGATGGAGCCCCCTTCTCCTCTTATCTCCCTCCCCCTGAACACCCCCCCACTCATTTCCGCAGCATCAGCCCCTGGGGGGGCTGCGAGCTGCTCCCCCTGCCCCATCGCAAGCGCGGCTCTTCTCCCACCCCTCCGTGCTGTTACCATCTGGTATTCAGCCACGTCCCTGTAGATGTTGGTGTCGGAGATGCGTCCCAAGATAGAGTAGTGGGGGCTGTGAGGAACAGAGCGAGGGACTGAGGTCACCATGGGCTTCCCCTGCCCTTGGCACGCAGCACCGGCCCCCCAGGCCCAGGGTACTCACAGCTGGGTGCGGAAGATGACGGTGAGCAGCCCGAAGGCCACCGAAGCCCCCAGGCCGATGTCCAAGTTCAGCATGAGGGTGGCCACGAACGTCACAATCCAGACCATCTGGAGGGGGCATGCAGTCAGCCGCAGCACGGCTTCCCCACCGACACCCGCAAGCCCCAGAGGGGGTGCAGAAACCCCTTCTGGGGACAAGAGCAAAGCCCCCAGGCCAGTCAGCGCCTTACCAGGTCCACCCGGTTGGACTTCCAGAGCATGCAGAGGTCGTTGAACTGCTTGAACATGCCCTTGAGGTTGATGATGATGATGGCAGACAAGATGGCCTAGGAGAGAAGTCCCTGCAGCCATGAGGATGCTGAGGGCAGGTCTGAGGGGGGCCTTTGGCTGTTCCCCTGCCACACCACCTTGCCATTGGATGGGCACAGGTGTGGGACATGGCATGGAGGCTGTGGGACTAGATGTACCTTGGGCAGGTCCCGGAAGAGTTCTCCTATCTTCAGGATGGTCACCAGGATGACCAGGGATGCGATGACGCCGGCTACCTGAGGGGAAGGAGAACAGAATGTGAGGTGAGCCCCACACCGCTCACTGTGCACCTCGCCCCTGGTCCAGCCCCGCGGAGGGAGGCAGCACTGCCCAGACCCACCTGGCTGTTGCCCCCTGTGCTCTCCTGCACCAGACTCCGTGACATGGAGCAGCTGATGGCGAAACACTGGAAGAAGCCCCCCAGGAAGTTGCAGAAGCCCAGCGCAATCAGCTCCTGCAGGGACAGAGCAGAGGTGGGGGAGCACCGTGCCTTCCCCAGCCTCAAGAACTACGAGCTTTTTCACCCAGGGAAGGGGCCCTGCGCATCGGAGCATCACCTGGTTGCTGTCCACTTTGTAGCCGTGCTTCAGGGCAAAGATCTTGCCCAGGGAGATGCAGATGGCGTAGCCCACCACGGCAATGGCGAAGGCGTTGCCCACCACCTGCCCAAAGTAGCTGAAGTTAGGGACCACGGGCGGCTTCAACCTACAGCCAAGACAGGGAGATGGGGCTGAAAAGGGGGGTCCTGTGGGTGGCACGGTGCTCTGGCACAGCCACCCCCACCGCCCAGCCCTGCTCACCCGCTGGGGATGTTGCCCACCACAGAGATTCCAAACTTGGCGTTCAGGTTGACGCCGTAGGAGATACCGGTGGAGATGATGATCTAGGGGAGGATGGCTGGAGTGAGGCAGGGCCTTCCTGCACAGGGACCATGGTGGAGAAGGAGGAGGAGGGGACACATGCTCTGCAGCTGCACTCGCCCAGGCACCCCATTTCACCCCTGCCCACCCTGGAGGGGACAGGGACACCCATGGCTGTGTCCCTACAGGGAGCTAGGGCAGCTCTGGGTACCGTGATTAGCTCGATGGGGATGGGCATAGGCAGCTTGGCAGCAAACTTGTGGTTGAGCTCTTTCACGATGAAGATGGCCACCATGGCAATGATGGCTGTCACCAGGGTGCCCACATTGGTCTCTGGCAGCTTCTTGCAGATCTCAATGATGGTCTAGAGGATACAGGAGGAGGGGACTGGCTCAGAAAAGCAGATGCCTCCCTGGCAGGTTTTTGGGGGCCTCTGTGCGCCCCAGAAGTGAGTGCCCAGGGAGTCCCAGGGCAGCAGCAAACCCCCACTCACCGTGAACAGTGAAAGCGGCCCTGACTTCTCGGCCATGGAGACCCCAAAGACGTTCTTGAGCTGGGAGACGAGAACATGCACAGAGGCAGCGGTGGTGTAGCCACGCACCAGTGGGTCTGAGAGGTAGGTCACCACGAAGCCAAACTGCAGGAGGCCCAGGGCCACCTGGAAGGAGAGGTGGGAGGAGCAGTGCAGCTCGCAGCCATGGCGCACCATGGACCCTGTTTACTGCCAGGCTGGGCTGTGGTCCCCTTACCTGGAAGATGCCCGTCAGGACAGTAATGGTGGCCACCATCTCCACCCTGGCAGCGTCCCGCTCCTCCCCATTGACCCTTGTGGTGT